GTTAGTGTGTCACTAAAGTTATTTATATATCCCACGTGTGGACTGTTAATGTTTCACTAAATAATGATACAAGTTGTTTCTATATTCACTGTAAGGGATTACCTACTTGCTATAAAACGAAGATAAAATTATTTATTTATTCATTGTGTGGACTGTTAGTGTGTCACTAAAGTTATTTATATATCCCACGTGTGGACTGTTAATGTTTCACTAAATAATGATACAAGTTGTTTCTATATTCACTGTAAGGGATTACCTACTTGCTATAAAACGAAGATAAAATTATTTATTTATTCATTATGACCTCATCACAACGAAGAGATAGTTGCTTATATATTATCTGCGTAGGCTACTCGCATATTACATTGGAAAGATAATGATCTGTATATTCCTTATGTGATTTATACTGGTGTTAAAAAAGGAAGATAATATTGTTTATATATTGCTATGTGGCTTAATAATGTGTTATAAAGGATGATAAAGTTGTTTAGATATATTCCCTGTGTGGTTCATTGACGTTTTATAAAAAACAAGCGTAGTGTTATTTAAATATTCCCAGTGTGCCTTTCTCACGTGTTACAAGATGAAGTAAAGGTGGTTATATATTCCCTGTGTGATTTATCCACGTGTTATAGAAAGAAGCCTACCATTGTATATATATATTCCGTGTGGAGCTTACTCAGGTGTTAGAAAACGATACTTTCCAGGAAATGTTTCAAAGTGTTATGTTGTTCATATACGTTTGTGTATATTCTTCCCACTCTAATACAAACACGCTCTAGAAACGTATTAATGCTTTTGTTGTTGTTGTTGTTGTTATATGCTGTAATTTTATTATATCTTCATCTATACTACACTATGCATTTTTCCGTGAAGATTCTAAAGAATTCAAAACTGAAGCGGACATCAAATATAAAAAAGAAACGTGATTTTTTTTTCAAAATAAGAGGGTAGGCTGATGCAAAATACTATTTAATTATGATAGTAATCTTTCATGTTTCAGGCTTAAATTTTGAAATGGTCAGAAACAGTTAAACTTAAGTTTGGATTTCTTTACTTAAATACTTGGTTTTCTTTAAAAAATAAATTGGCTATATGAAAATAAAATAGAAGTTAACTGTAATAGTTATAAAATGAAAATAATTAATGTTTTATTTTTGAGTAGAGTCCTAAGACTGATTATTTTAGGTATTAATGAAAATACAGTTTGATTTGTGTTAAGATATAGGCTTTAGATAAGATCTTTTTATGGTAAGCTGAATATTTCACAATGTTAACTTTGTATATGGTATATTTAAACTACAATACGTATAACAATTATATTTCTTGAAATCTTGTTAATGGTTTTTTGTTTTCAGAGTAAACTGATGTCTTAATTAGCAGTATTTAGTTAAATACAATATACATTTTACATTCATGGTGGTGGTAAATGTATTTCTACAAGTTTTCGAAACGGTGACTACTGTTAACTATTAAAATCAGTTTCATTTCCTTTTAAAACAGCTCTACTGAGTGTCAGGGATTTTGTATATGGGCTTGGATTCTTTACAGTAAGTGTCTCTGACTTGTTGGCGATAAATACAAACAATAAACGGACATCAGACAATTCACTTGTTTTAAAATATTATATTCAAAACAAGTCAAACGTATGTACAAAACATTCTTATACTATAGGATATCACAGCTGCATCCAAAACTCTAAATAATTATATTTTCCTGTCAAAAGTCCACACAGGCTGATTCAATTATTTGAGAATCCAGTTGACAAGACGATTTATTTTTCTCTACTCTGTTTCTTACTGTACAATCTGCGATAGATTCACTTACGTTACTCCATGGGTTACCACAGTTGTATCCAGAACTTTAAATAATTATCTCCTTTTCGTCAAAGTCCACACAGACGAGTTCAATTACTTTAGAACACACTTTGACAAGACAAAGTATTCTCCTTATCTTTGTTAAACTGTGAAACTCACTTTAAAATATCCCCCATTACGGCTAAACTAACAATCACGCAGTCTAACTTCACTTTCTACTAACATAACGTTTTCTGACTTCACTTCTTTTGTTGGTTATCACAGTTGTATCCAGAGCTTTAAATAATTGTCTCTTTTTTTTTCGTCAAAAGGCCGCATAGGCTGGTTCAATTACTTTAGAACCCAATTTACAAGACAAATTATTTTTCCTATCTTGTTGTAACAATACAGCTGTGAAGCACACCATAGAAATCTCCCATTAAGGCTAATCACTCTCACGCCAGCTAACTTCACGTTTTCTTTAACTAACTAACTTTTTTCTGACTGAACTTCACTTGATTTGCACTCACTTGATCGCCTATATTTATTCCTTTTCCAACTGAGGCCTAGAACTTTCTACAAACTAGGAGACGCTATAATGTAACAATACTCACTGAGCGAGAAAAACTTAGAGGTTTCGAGAAATACTACAACAACTAACCTACACACACAATGTACGACTCTTACTGAGTTACGTAACGCAACTTGTCATAACTATTACTTTTAAAATTATTAACTTTTAACACTCTTGTTGTGAAAACTAAATATTCATTCAATATTAAATAAACTAAATAATAACTATTAAGCTAATCAGTCTTGTATATCCAACACTCAGTGACTAATACTTTGTAAGATGAAATAATTCTGTAATCATATCTTAATGTAGTGTTAAGAAAAAAGAGGGAGATGCAAAATATGGATTTTTCAACGTATTTCATATCGTTTGTTAATTTATGTTTGGGATAAAATGTAACTTGGATTTTAAATTTAATGATGTGGTTAGGATTTGATTCATTAAGCAAATGAAAACATAGCACGCTTTTATATTCATACTTTGATTTACACATTGATTTCAAATGGATTTATACTTAATTTTAAGCGTACATCACGTGAAGACTAAAAATGTTTTTCATAAGACCGTGGATATTATCTTATGTTTAATGCCCATGTGATGTCTTTCATTTCATGTCTAATAAGTTTTTTGCTCGACATTTGTGAACATTATCTGTGATAGATAGGTTTCTTTGCCTTATTTCCTAATTCAAGCTTTTACTGGTCACTCCTACACAGCTTATATATTCCGAAGACTACACAAAGGCGATGTCCAAAGATTGGCATACCAGCCACTTTTGCTGCTGGCAGTGCGATGAGTCCCTGACTGGTCAGCGTTATGTCCTAAGGGATGAACACCCCTATTGTGTTAATTGCTATGAGCAGGTTTTCGCCAACTCATGTGAGGACTGTAACAAGATTATCGGGATCGATTCTAAGGTAATGAATAAAGTATTTATTCACAGCTTTACATGTAACATGTATATGTATGTTAACTTAAGATGAGTGTTGACTCTTTAACACTGCATGTGGCACACATCTCCAAAAATTTGTATTTGTAAAAAAGATATTTTGGTTTTAATTTCCAAAACATTTCAAAACAGTTTCATTTATGCACATGTATACTCATGAGTTAACTTCAAAGCTACAAAGTTTCAAGAATTGTAAATTTTAAGAGAATATTGGAGTATCTACTTTGAAAACTACAAAAATATGGGAACTGTTAATTGACTTTTGAAAAATACTCCAAAGCTATGAACTACTGACCGGAGAAAGAGAAACCAATCAAGGAAACCACCCACCATTCGCGATAATGAATTTACTATTACTGTTATAACATACCAACAGTTTGAAGTGCTAGAAATATTTTGTGGTATCACACGGATTCGAACTCCTCTTGTCAGATGCGAAATCCAAACGAATACTGTTACCTTTAAGTTTAAAACTGTGTAATGTGATTATAACTCGTGAGACATTATTCTTATCTGTTGTATTTACTTAAAAAATGTTATTTTCTTCAGCATCCTGAAAATTTTGTAACATAGACATTTGTACTCGTGAATTATGTAGTTTTCAGACTTGAAGACTTAGCATAGGATTAGTACTGTATATCGTTTTAATATACTAGTAATCGACTTATTTTTTGAAAAACGTAACTTAATGATAAAGCACAACACGAACGTGATAATAGGAAGCATTTATTGAACGTTTCGGAATCATCAGAATTCCTAGAATCCGGGTTTCGATACCCGTGGTGGGCAGAGCACAGATAGCTCATTGTGTAGCTTTGTGCTTAATTACGAACAACATCATCAAAATCTCATCATCAGTAATCTAGAGGTACAAAACAAACAAACAATATTTGTAATTACAACAGAAATATATACATAAAAATAAACAATGTGAATATACAAATTATAACATATACAACTAATTCACATTCTTCATTTGGTTTAAACCTAATATAGTATTAATATTTCATTTTTGCCACATTTTTTTTTCATTTCCTCGTGTTATAATTTCTATATTCAAACAACTAAATGTGTGAAAAAAATCTCATTTTAAATGTTATATATAAAATCTAACATTATAGGTTTATATCTATTTTTACTTACCTTACATAGTTATTGTTGATTTCTAGCACGTGACAATTTGAGCTGTTGTGCGATTCTATTCAGCGCTGGTCAGCCCATGGTCTAGCGAAACGTAGTGTTAAGAAAAGAGAGGGAGAGACAAAATAGGGATTTTTCAACATATTTACTTGTTTATCCGTAAATAAATAAACTATTTAGTTCAACAAACTCTTCTTCTTCACTCTGTTATTAATGAGAGCCAACTTCAAGTAAACATATGTTATTTATTTTGATAAACAACATAACCAGCTAAGAAGAACTTTACTGAACAGAATATTTATGAAATATTTTCTGAAGTTTAGAACTTAAAAGCTGGTAGTTACCGTTTATTACAGATTTTTGATAAACTCTTACTAACGAACAAAAGATTGATCATGTCACTGACTTTTTGTTAAATTAAACTTCATTTCTAAGTCATTGTGCTATCTTGGGAAAACAAAGCTAGAATCAAATACATATTTATTTCACTTCAAATCAAAAACTAAATATTTCTAGACAGTAAGATAAATTTTTTTTTCAAATAATATTCTGATGACTGGATTTGTGTGTTCATTTTTAAAGAGAAAAAAGTTTTATATGTTTTTATTATATTAGTTTTTTTTTTCTATTTCATTACTTCCATTGTTTCGCTTCACTGTTTGATTAAAAACAATAACATGCAGTGATAAATTAAACATTATCTTGAGTAATGTAAGGTTTTTTTTGTCTTTTAGAGTTCAGTATGAGAAATTTGAGTGAGAAAGCATTTCATTTCCCAAATAAAGTGTTCTGTGTTTTCTTTATCCATTTTTATCGTCAACTTGACAGAAGTTCTAGAATGAAATTAAAAGGTTCAGATAATTTTTTGAGTTTTTATTTAGCACAATAATTAACAAGAAAATGTCAAAACTCTTAATGTGTAGGTGACGAAAGCTCAGCACTTCATTTCACCCTCTGAAGAACGCTGTTTCCTCTAGTTTGGGAACTGTTGAAGAACGCGCAGTATGCATGACTGCAGCAGTAGGAAGACAAAGATAGAAGGGCTTCCTGCGGAAGGCAGGAATTATATTGTTTAAGATTAGCCGAGTTATATTAGGAAACAGAAATCCTATCCTCAGAAGGCTATATATACAGCGCTGAAATCAGTAACACGAACTAGGACGATTATTTCCAAATGAGTCCATTTTCCGTTGCATATTTTTGCTTCGTCTTAAATACTCTATATCTGGTATTGCAGCGTGCGCAAGACTTCGTGTAGTAAGATATAGTCACTGCCAACATTCGCTTTATTTAAATAATATTCCAGTAAAGGATATAAAATAAACGTCTTATGGTGATAGATTTTAAACATCAGATGTATGATGATTTATTATCACCATCTATAGTTCATAAAAGTGTTCAAGATGAGATATTCCCTATTAAATCGTTACAACCTATAGTTAATTTTAAATATAATAAACCAATAGGACCTCTCCTTCTTTTTGAATTATTAAAATGTATATTGAAGACCTTGATCCCAAAGAAACTGATAATTTACCTTGTAACTATACCAATAGTAATTTAATGAATTCTTTTCATAATCATGTTATTAAAGATGAAGACTTAATAGTAGTTTCCGAAAAAGGTACTATGTTTAGAATTTTGAATAAGACAAAAAAAGTGAAATATTAAAAGGATTGGAAAAATATTATTAAATACTATCAAAATTGGCAAAAAAAATCTCATTAGCCTTGTTTTTTTAATGTGACAGAGCAGAATTAGTAACAGTATATAAATAATTTGTAATAAATCTAAACTTATCAAATGTTTCTTATGCAACTTCGGGATTGCATACAAAAAAGTAAATTCAAATACGTAGAATATATATTTATTGTGTTTGTTTGTAATTAAGCACAAAGTTACACAATGGGCTATCTGTGCTCTCCCCACCACGGGTATCGAAACCCGGATTCTAGCGTTGTAAGTCCGCAGACATGCCGCTGTGCCACTAGGGGGCCTGTGGTTCAAAACACTTAAATCTTAACCCATACTTTGATGACAAGGAACCCACTTTGAGACTAATAATGCTCGGAGACGTCTTGAATGGGTAATTTAAAAAAAACATTAATATAAGTTTATCTGATGATGACAAAACCTTGTCGAAAAGTACATTTGCTGTTATGTTAAACTTATATTAAAGTTTTTCTTCATTACCCATTCAAGCCGTCTCCAAGCATTATTAACCACTAATTTGATCTTCCGTAATGGCTAGCTAGTCTGAAATTTGTGTTTGGATTATTTCTGGTAGATGGAATATCCCGAACCCCTTTGGGTGCTTTGACCACAGAAATTTTACATTATTAGTTAAAGGATAATGATATGAATTGGCAATGGAAAGAATTATTTTTTCTCTCTCTCTCTTTCTTTTTTTTTTGCTATTCTCATAATACACATCTCGGTTTGGTTTATATACTAACTTTCATCATTGTTATATAGTGGCCCATATACTTTTGATGTAATCCTTTTCCTTAATGCGTTAAATTATCAACTAATAGAATTGTTGAGTTTTTGTGTATATACATGTGGGCGTAGCGTACATGTGTTTATTTAATTAAGTGATTTCTTAGTTATAAGATACGCCTGCAGGTGATCTATCTTGGCCCGTCGTAATGATAGGCTACTACCGAGACATTTAGATGAAGAACCAACAACCTTACAGAGATGTGGTTCACATCGCATTGATAATTTATATTGAATATTGTTGGGCATGAAATTATCTTCAGATAATTTTAGCCTAATAGATTGAATTCTGGCTGAATTCAGTCATTCAGTATATATGTACGTTAAAAAAATTTACATTTTACAGAATGCTGATTTTCGAAAACACGTGTACATATTTAAATATGTCAAATATTGAAATAAGGGCCATAAACTATTTACCTAACGTAAATAATGTAAACTTTAACCCATATCTACGTGAGATCTATACCCAACAAACTAATTTTTTCTAATTCTTGCCACAGTCTTCTGTAGTTCGTTTGATTTGTCTTCTTTTCTACACATATCGTTTTAGAATTAGAACATATGAATGAGTAACTGTGTATGTGTGTTTGTGTTAGAAAGAGACCATCATTTTATGTTTGTAGATACACAAACATGACCACAATTTTAATTAATGACCCATACTTTAGATTTGATAGATCTTTTTATTTTTCTTGGCGAACTGGAAATTGTGAGAAATCGGAAACAAATGGACAGTTGAAAATAGTTGAAACACAACTCAGTTGAGCATTACAGAACGTGTAGTGCTCAACTTGCAGTTTGATCTTATAAGGTGGCGCGTAAAAATTAATATAGTTTTATATTTCATCACTAGAACTTCTTACAGATTTGCAGTCTCTCTTCTAAGAAACAGTTGGTTATTGTTTTAAAAACAAAATGCTTTGCTTCTAACTATTTGGTAATGTAACCAAAAATTAATGTGTAGGATTACACTGACGGTTATATATTTAACGGTAATTAGAAGTAAAGCAAATTTTGTGGGAGTATAAGTCTAAAAGACAGTTTCTAGAAAACGAGTATAACACTGACCTACGTTATGAATCTTAAAAACAATATAACCATCAGTGTTATACTCTTCTTCTAGAACCTCTAGACAAACACATTAGTACAAAATCTGCTTCGTTTCTAACAACTGTTTATATATTGTTGGCGAACTTGTCTTATAAGAACAAACGCTACCATGAAACCAGCTTCGTCTTTAACAACTGTTTATCCTCTAATACAGTAATATATCGTGTTATAATACCTGTCCTGTAGGAACAAATATTGGCGTATTCATTCTATAAAAACATTCACTAGTATGTCACTAATTTATATTATTTATTTCATTTTTTGAATCTTGTTTTAGGACCTGTCATATAAAGACAAACACTGGCATGAAACCTGCTTTCTTTGTAACAAGTGTCGAGCATCCCTGGTGGACAAACCGTTTGGCTCTAAGGCAGAGAAAGTGTACTGTTCTGGCTGTTATGATGCCTCATTCGCCTCCAGGTGCGACGGCTGTGGAGATGTCTTTCGAGCAGGTAACTTTGATAAGTGTTTTCACATCTACGCATAAATACTACAGGTTTTCACAGATATAGTACAAGAAGTGTTGAACATATAACGATGAAAGGTGCAAGGTAATCACTTTAGACACCACTTGTCTTCTATCAAATGTTTTCTGGCAATTTAATGACCGGAAAAACGTAAATCCACAAAGGTACTATTACAACTTAAATATATATATATATATATAACCATACAAGAATGAAATACTGAGAATGGATAAATATACCTATCATCAAATCTACAAAATGGGAATAGTTAAATACATATACTAGTGGGGATGGCCTTTGAAGAAGTGAAAACCCTAAACTGTGGAAATACACTATTAACAATTCATTATTGTCATCAAATATGAAATTTAATTAAAAATTAGGAAAGGATACATGGTTACGCGTACCACGTCAGTAGTTACCCCGGCTGTACAGACGCGACACCAGCTGACGACACAAGTGTGTCGACCTCAGGTGTGGAGGGAAGTAGAGACAATGGTGTCATGATTCCACGAATGTCACCAGAGGGTGCTTTCTAGGCCGCTATGACAGGCGGGTGTTGCTAGTTCCACGAAGTAGTATACAAGAGGGAGCATTTCTAAAAAATGTTACCAAGAATAGTGTTTCTATAAACGGAGGATGATGAGCTCGTTGTGTCAACATGTCATTAATAGTTAGATTTAATTATGTTCTAAAAGTTAAAATTAATACAGATATCTGTCGATTTGTGTATAAAACAATTCACTAAATCAGTAGTTTTGTTTCTCTATTTAATCATGCTTTTTAATGTTTCTAGAGCTGGATAGCATTCCTGATACATTTAACTTACTACTAAAAACTTTTGATCATGTCTATTGTTTTTATATATATTGAATGAGACAACTGATTGTGTTTTTGGGATTTATCGTGTTGAAGTATATTTTTAGTTTCTATATTTAATCATACATTTTTACATTTCCTTTTATACGTGAAACACTTTAATTTCTATAATTATTATATATCATCCTAAAAAGGATGCTTATTAAAATCTGTAAGTTATATAGAATAATATAACATACAAACTTATGACAATCTTACCGTTCCACTAGTTTGTCTTTATGCTATTCATATAACTATGATTTTTTATTGTTTTTGACAAAATATTTCATCACACACATGTATCTAATGACAGTTTTCACTTACAAACTTTTTACAGTGTTTCTATGGGACGAAGATATTAGCAATACAATGTCTTATAATACTACAATATATATATGTCTGTCACCAAAGTACACCAATATGTATATA